GGGGTGCTTCTCTGGCACACCGTGTGCTGCTATACCAAAAACTTTTGTTTTAGCAAAAATATTTATTTATAGTAAAAAGATAAATAATGCTGGAATGAAGCTGAATCTTACAATTAGTAAATAGTTGAGGGTTGTTCAAATAAAAAAATAAAGACTGAACAATCATTCATACCCTGGTAGAGATCTGTCCGTCTTCGTGGTCACTGTCTTCAGACATAAGCCTTCTGGGACACCTAATAGATCATGTTGATTTTCTTTGAGGCATTTCCATAATTTCATGCTTCCCCGTTCCGTTATCCGCTTTCACCGCGGCGCTGCGCTCCGTTTCAATCAGGCTGTACAGCAGGATTTCCCCTCGTAGCGATATTTTCCATAACTCTGATTGCTTCATGCTATAAATCGTTGGAAAGATGCTTTTATGTACTTTTAGGAACCGTTGGGTTTTTTGAATCTGATCAGCCATTCAAAAGTTATAAAACGGAGCATTTATAAATGACAAACTCAGCACGTCTCTGAATCTGCGTTGTGATTTGTTGCCCTCAAGACAGGGAATCCCGGTGGCTACCGTAAAGTACCTACATGCACGAAAAGCCCCATTTTTAATCTTTTCAGCACTTTTGGAATTTTAATGATATCTTGAACGGTTCAGGAATTATGGTAATGAGAAGTGTCCAACCCCGTCTGCCGCGACAGGTTGGTAATAAGAATATTGTGGCATTAACAGAGGGATGCCAGCGGTCAGGGCTAGGAGGCCCCCCAACACAAGGGGGCTCCAGGCAGCCGCCGACCTATGCCTAATGGTAAAACCGCCACTGATATATAGGTGTGTGTGATTTTAAATGTATACAAACACGGTACTGTATTATCTGGGACCATGATAGTTAAATGAAAGCAGGCATCAGTCAACCAACCAAAGTAGATCCTGCAGCCCTCTGTCTCTTCACACCTGTCACTGTAAACTCCACATGTCACCAGAGTGAAGGTGTAAGAGTGTTTTTGTAAATAATACCTGTGTGTGCAAATACTTCTGCATCATCCCGGCCCTGGGATTTTGACCGGCTCTCCTTTAGATTAGTATAGAAATAGCAGCATTAGTAGATTGGTAGATCAGCCTGATTTTACACATTTACTGACTGGCTCCCTTGTTTTAGTTTCAAAAACAAAAAAGGACACAAGCTAATACTTTTGAAGATTCCAGAAACTAGTCGAGTCCGTGACTCATTGCGCGCGCACGCACATCCAGACTGGTGACATTCCAGAGGAACAGAGAGCAAAAAAAGAAAGAAACCAATAGCTCATAGCCTTCGCGAGTTACGCTAACTGGGCCAGAACCCGTTTGCCGAGCTGGACTCTGTTTTTGTTCCTCACTTCCAGATGAGAAGGGGGGTTTCTGACTCGGCCTCATTCCTGAAACCATCTCCCGAGCGCGTGGGACGCACACTTGTCTCGGTGGAAGGAGAGACGCACACGGAAGATTTCTTTTCAGCACAGGTGTATATTTTGACCGGACTCGCGATGAGAGGCTGAAGAGGAGGAGGACTGATCTGGTTAGTTTAGGACGTGTTGTAGTTTCCGTGGATTGTAAAACTCGCCATGGAGGATCAGGTAAGTCGTCCCAAATAGCTCCAGTCCCTTTATGTCAGGATTTGTGTTACATTACACTTAAAATCTATTTAGAAATGTCACTTCACCCAAATGTTTTCGTTCTCTCTGACGTCATCAGCATCTGGACTTGTTGAGCAGGTCGGCTGAAGGGAATCAGCTCCATCTCTCCAGAAATCATCTCCCACGTTTTTAAAAAGTTTTTAATTATAAAATTATCATCTCAAGTAATCCCAAGTATGAGTCTCAGGATTAGATAACTCCAGATCTGAAACCTCTGTAGTTGAGCTGTGTTGTTACGACCGGTCTAATTCTGTAGTGAAGATTTTTGTTTCATTTTATTTCTCCTTATTACGCATCAGCCGTGTAAACAAAGCTGTGTTGGAGTTTTGTTTCAAACATGAAAATTGATCTAATCTTAAAATGTTGAACTGATTTTAATAAAATGCTGATGAACATTCAAAAAACGAGCCCAAAACTCTTAAAGGAAGGAAAAGGTGATTTTCTTTCTCTGTTTTATGTAGTGGTTCAGTTTAGGATCCTCAAAATAGAAGAATAGTTATTGCTGGTGGAAGCGTGCGCGCGCGCGCACACACACACACACACACACACACACACACACACACCACTAAAGAGCCACTTGTTATTAATTTGGTCTAATTATTATTAGTTTCCTATTTCTCCTTAGGCTCAAACATAATTTTTAAAGGTCATTAGAATTCTGAACACCTTCTCAAGATGTTTGTTTTTCAAGGCCCACGGTGGACACTGACCCCAGTTTCTGCATGTTTGCATCACATGTTTCCTGTCTTAATAAAAGTGTAAACAAGGTCCGACTCGGAGTTTGCATCTGAAGATTTCTGTGTTCAGCAGGGAGACCAAATGGACTTTCAGTCCGTGAGGGCCATGTTCCAGGAGAAAGAATGCGTCATGGGGCAACCTAAGAACAAACCTTTTTCCTCGGATAAACCTAAAGTTGGCCCCCCTTCCCAGAGCCCCACTTATCTACCTGCAGGTGCACGCCCCTCCCTGCTCACTTCCATAAACCACGCCTTGGAAACCAACACAGTGAACGCCCCCCGAGTTGTCTTCAGGGAAGAGAAGAAGGAGAGCAAAAAGCCTCTTGTGCTGACTAATTCCAAAGCAAAAGACAAACCTGACAAGAAAGTCAAGGAATCTAAAGACAAGACAGCAAAAGAAGATGAGGAGAAGCTCCTCGACAATTTGTCGGATCAGAAGGAGAAGAGAGAGAACGGTAAGGACAAGAGATTCCCATCCCTCCTGAATCAGAAGGAACCGGCAGCAGTGCTGGTTGAAGCGTCGGCACCACCCAGAGCCCCAACAACAAAGAAGAAAGGCTTTCATGTTCTCAAGAAGAGTGCGAAACGAGACTCCACAATGATCTCCGATCCAGTCTTAGACACCTCAGGTTTTGATGTTTCTGGACCTGCTCCACTGATCCCAGTTTCTTCTGATGCTGGAAGTGTGCAAATGGAGCCTCTGTACTCGATACCAAAAGCCCGCCCACTAATGAAGACGACCTTACCTGAACCCAGTGCTGCCGTGGACTTGACCCCACCCTCCTTTACCCCTGACTTCTGTCCACCTCCTGCCGTCACCCCAGAGGTCCCTGTTCTGACAGTCTCAACCCCGGAGAGTAAACCCCCAACTCAGATACCAAGTCCTGCCCCTCCATCTACTGCGGCTCCTGTCCCTCCAAACCATGGAACTCCATCCCTTCTACATGTCGGTCCTCCTACCCGTCCATCCTTTGCTGCTCCTCCCCCTCCAAAGCGTTTTACTGCTACCCATCCAGCTGTTGCCTCTCCCACCCGTCCAACCTTTCCTGCTCCTCCCCCACCTAACTCTTCACCTTTTGCTGCCTCTGCTCCTCCAAACCGCAACACCCCTTCCCCTCCACCTATTGCTGCACCTCCTCCAAACATCAGGGCTCCCAACTCTCCACCTACTGCTTCACCCACACCTCCAGATGCTGATTCCCCAGCCCCTGATCCATCACTTTGTGTTACACCTGACCCTAGACCAGGCCTTGCTCTCGCCGATCCATTTCTTGTGGCCTCTGCTCCATCCCTCTCCCCTTCTGAACATCAGCGTGCAACAGAGGTCCATGCAGAGGCTGTAAATGTAGCTTTAGTGAAGAAGCCTCCTTCCAAAGAGGTTGACCCTCCTTCCTTGGAGTCACCCGGAGGTGAACATCCCATCTCGGCTCTTTCAGTCCTGGAGAGGGCAGAAGACAAGGGCCCTGGAAAGAAAACATCTCCAGGAGATCTAAGGATTTTAAACGCTCTGGAGAATTCACGCAAGAAAAACGGCAGGTGAACATCCATAATCCTCTCTCAGTGGTTTAAAGTCACTATGGTTTTTTAACTTGTTGTCATGATTGTAACCCCTCTTCTGTTTTCAGTCCCTTGTTGATCTCTCCTCGCGCCACTCCTCCACCTGAGGAGCGTCCTCAGGAGGACCCCACCAAAGACCTCCCACATATCGATTATGCAGGAAGGAAACATCCCTCGCCCAATCCGGTTAACGACATTGACCACGGTGAGTCACAGCAAAGCCTCTCTGCTACTGGCTTTCTTGTACATTTTTCCAACATTTTTGCATTTTAACAGGATTTATACATTTATAACATTAGGGGACAACGATTTTAAATATTCAGACAGTTTTCTGTGTGAGGTAGTGTCAGCACATCTAATGTTGGCGTGACATAGTAAAAATAAACTCATAAACAGCAGCTCTAACATTTTTAATGCCCGAAACAAGTCGGCAGAAGGCGGTGCCCAACCGTGGAGTTATGCCAGGTATGACAGAGCTGCTCTGACACATCATGCTCTAAACATGAATCAGGATGAGCAGAGGGCTCTCTGATGTGGTTAAACAGAGGTATCTCACATAAAGGGAATGTTTTCCCCTAAAGAATGAGCTAATCTAGAGTAGAGAGAAATTACAAATATTTTCCAGCAGTAAAATTTTCTTACAACACTTAAAAAGACCCAAAGGCCCTTAAAAGACCTCTGAGTGAAGGAGGTATGTTTGGTTCTGGTTCCTCACACAAATTAAATTCTTCCACCTAACCTGCCTTCCATCACATACCTTCAGATGTTTTTGTTTTTTCGTTCAGTTTTACTATCAGACTTCTACAAATCATAATTAGGATTACACGATTGTTTGCAGAAGTCTCTCCAGTATGGGAAAAGATAAGTAAGGAGAAGACTGGTGCAGAGCTCCTTGTGCTTCCCCCTCCTCCAGCCAAACAAGCCCTACCAGACCTCAAGTATCCAGAGCAAGCTCCAGAGAAACCCGACAGACTTTCCTCCGTCATCCAGGATCAGTTTATTCCTCCTCCTCCTCTTTTTGAAGGTACTAGTGTGGTCACACACCTGAAGCCGTAGAAAAAATACACTGCCGAGTCCAAAAGGTCACACACTCTAATATTTCGTTTCGTCTTCAGCTTTGATTACACACACATTCGCTGTTGCATTGTTTCAATAAGCTTCTGCAACGTCACAAGATCTGTTTCCATCCAGTGTTGCATTCATGTTTCACCAAGATCTTGCACGGATGATGGTAGAGTCTGACCGCTGCACAAAGCCTTCTCCAGCACATCCCAAAGATTCTCAATGGGGTTAAGGTCTGGACTCTGTGGTGGCCAATCCACGTGTGAAAATTACGTCTCATACTCCCTGAACCACTCTTTCACCATCTGAGCCTGATGAATCCTGGCATTGTCATCTTGGAATATGCCCGTGTCACCAGGGAAGATGGAATAACCTGGTCATTCAGTATATTCAGGTAGTCAGCTGACCTCATTCTTGATGTGCTGAACCTAGACCTGACCAACTGCAGCAAGCCCAGATCATAGCCCTGCCCCCACAGGCTTGTACAGTAGGCACTAGGCATGATGGGATCACTTCATCTGCCTCTCTTCTTACCCTGATGCACCCATCACTCTGGAACAGGGTCCATCTGGACTCATCAGACCAGTTTTTAATAATGCGTTGGACAGTTCTTAACCCAGTTTTAGTCGCTCCTACAGTAATTATCCAATTAGTTAAATCCAGGTGGTGACTTTTTTGGCCTGGCACTGTATCTGTTGTAATATTTAACCATATTTTTCACACCTGCAGGAGATTCTGGGCTTTTGGAAGCTGAAACCACTGATGGTCCAGAGTTTGAGGAGTTGGCTTCAGATGCTTACTCCCCAGAGCTTCCATCATCAGAGTGGGGGAACGAGCTTGGCACCGATATTACAGGCGGTCAAAGCCCATTAGAGGGTTTGAGTAATGGGACAGCTCATCCAGTAATGGATGTCCATTCTGAACCAGCGAATGAAGTTGATTATGAAGAAGGTCCGGTACCAGTGTCTCCTCTCCCGGTCTTCAAGGATCCACCAGTAGTGGAGGAGTAAGATGTTTAACTCCCTTCAAAACGTCTGATCTTCTCCAAGGTTTGGATTTTAACTGCTGTCTGTTTACGTAGGCTGCCAGTAGATAACCGCAACAGTGTCCTCGTGGAGACGGAAAACGAGTACGAGGACATCGCCACATCCCTCAAAAAGAAAGGAAAGCTTAACAATAGCAAGAAAAACAAAGGGGCACCAAAAAGTAAATATTCTTCACAGAAATGCATCTTATACCAACACTCTGTTTAATCCTTTTTAACATAACCAAATGTACCTTTATTACAATAATACTAGTGCAATAACAACATACGATCACATAATAATTAAATGATGATGAAGCATACTTCGTTTTCATTTAATGCAGGAGATGACTGCTTCAACCATTGTGTCTAGCATCAAAATGTAACCAAAATGTGAATTTTATAGGGATAGTTTTTTTTTAAAGGGAGATCGATAGGCGGATTGGTGCTGCATCTGCAGTGATGCGGGCGTTGTACCAATCAGTCATGGTGACGAGAGCGCTGAGCCAGAAGGCAAAGCTCTCGATTTACCGGACGACCTATGTTCCTACCCTCACCTACGGTCACGAGTTTTGGGTAGTGACCAAAAGAACGAGAATGTGGATACAAGCAGCCAAAATGAGTTTTCTCTGCAGGATGGCTGGGCTCCCCCTTAGAGATAGGGTGAGAAGCTCGGTCATCTGGGAAGGGCTCGGTGTAGACCCGCTGGAGAGGAGCCAGTTGAGGTGGCTCTGGCATCTGGTGTGGATGCCTCCTGGGCACCTTCCTCGTGTCGCCCTGTAGACCTAGAGTAAAGGGACACCCAGGACACACATGAGGCACTAGGTCTCTCACCTGGTCAGGGAACGCCTTGGGATTCTCCCGGTGGAGCTGGCCCAAGTGGCTGGGGAGAGGGAAGTCTGGGCCTCTCTGCTTAGGCTGCTGCCTCTGACTGCAGATAAGCGGAAGAGAATGGATGGAGGGATGGATGGATGGATGGATGGATGGATGGATGGATGGATGGATGGAGGGATGGATGGATGGAGGGATGGAGGGATGGATGGATGGATGGATGGATGGATGGATGGATGGATGGAGATTGCATGTCTTAATTTGATCATTTTGACAAAACAAACGTAAATGATTTGTGTATCATAGTACTTGACATTTTACTCAGTATCTCTCTGGAAGCTGTGTTGTGATGGAACAGTAACATAAAGTTTGTTTTTAATCACAGATCCATATGCTGAGTCTGAAAAGGTCGCGGTAAGCAGCTTCAGGAAGGCTTCAGTCAAAATGCCCTCGATTATTTGTTAAATGTTATCATATTTTATGTGGTTTATTTAAGGTGAATCAAGCTTTTCTGTTTGTTTGTGTTTTCAGGTTCAAGAGAAAACCAAGAGCAGGAGGTTTGCCAGGTATGGTCTTCTTTGCTGTGTTCTTGCTGTGTTGAAATTCTAATTCCATCTTTTAGTTCTTTTTAAAACACAGAAAGGTTTTATTTACCTGCAACGTTTCGTTTGCGGCTGCAAACTTCTTCAGGCTGACGCTGATGGTGGCGTCACTTCCTTCTCCGTTTATCCGCGGGCAGCAGAGGACGTTGTCGCCCTCTACTGCCCGCTCTCCCCTCTCCGATGATGCAGTCCCATGCGTGATCCAACGAGTAAACTCCATCGTCTCTGTTCATGGTCCCACATCCACGTCTCCTTATCTCGACAGCTTCTGTTATCCATCTTTTGTATTTTTGTTGTTCGGTGGTTATGATCCGTGTGCTGTCCCAGTCCATTATATGGTTTTCTCTTAAGCAATGATCTGTTACGGCTGACTTCTTTATTGTGCTTTCTGCTGCTTCTTTTGCTGCTCTTGTGTGTTTACGACTTGTTTCTTTCTCACACTCCTTTCTGTGTTCTATTGTCCGTGTGTTGAGTTGGCGTCCGGGTTCTCCTATGTATGTTTTATTGCAGAGTTTGCATGGGATTTCGTAGACGACTCCACATTTAAGTCCAGCTGGTATTTTGTCTTTTGGGTGCACTAGTCTGTTTCTAACTGTTGTGTATGGCTTTGTTGTTGTGTTTATGTTGTGTTTTTTCATTGTTGCTCTTATTTTTCCTGTTATGCCTCTGATGTATGGTAGGGTTATCACTGGTTCTGGTTCTTGTCTTTCTGGGTTTCTGGTTCTTTGCTTTGGTTGTTCTTTTCTTTCTGTTGTTGTTTGTTGTTTTCCTTTGTTTATTGCCCATGCCGGGTATGCGCAGGTCTTTAAAGCGTGTTGTATGTGTTTGTCCTCTTGTTTACGGTCTCTCTCTTCTGTTATTATGTTTGCTCGGTGATATAATGTTCTGATTACTGACATGTTGTGTATGGTGGGGTGTTCTGATGTCCATAATAGATATTATAGAACAAAAAGCCATCGCCACCGCCCCCCCTAACTGCTAAATAAAACTATGGAAACGCTACGTAGACGACATACTGGAAATCATACTAAAAGGTCAAACAGAAACACTAACACAACACTTGAAGAACATTGACGACACGGGCAACATAAAATTCACTTATGAGTCAGAAACAGAAGGCAGCATAGCATTTATGGACATGAAAATCACCAGGCAGACCGACGGGACCCTAAACATAAACACATACAGGAAACCAACACACACAGACCAATATCTATCATGGACATCAGAACACCCCACCATACACAACATGTCAGTAATCAGAACATTATATCACCGAGCAAACATGGTAACAGAAGAGAGAGACCGTAAACAAGAGGACAAACACATACAACACGCTTTAAAGACCTGCAGATACCCGACATGGGCAATAAACAAAGGAAAACAACAAACAAAAACAGAAAGAAAAGAACAACCAAAGCAAAGAACCAGAAACCCAGAAAGACAAGAACCAGAACCAGTGATAACCCTACCATACATCAGAGGCATAACGGAAAAAATAAGAGCAACAATGAAAAAACACAACATAAACACACCAACAAAGCCATACACAACAGTTAGAAACAGACTAGTGCACCCAAAAGACAAAATATCAGCTGGACTTAAATGTGGAGTCATCTACGAAATCCCATGCAAAATATGCAATAAAACATACGTAGGAGAACCCGGACGCCAACTCAACACACGGACAATAGAACATAGAAAGGAGTGTGAGAAAGAGGCAAATCGAAAACACACAAGAGCAGCAAAAGAAGAAGCAGAAAGCACAATAAAGAAGTCAGCCGTAACAGATCACTGCACAAGAGAAAACCATATAATGGACTGGGACAGCACACGGATCATAAACACCGAACAACATAAATACAAAAGATGGATAACAGAAGCTGTCGAGATAAGGAGACGTGGATGTGGGACCATGAACAGAGACGATGGAGTTTACTCGTTGGATCGTGAATGGGACTGCATCATCGGAGAGGGGAGAGCGGGCAGTAGAGGGCGACAACGTCCTCTGCTGCCCGCGGATAAACGGAGAAGGAAGTGACGCGCCACCATCAGCGTCAGCCTGAAGAAGTTTGCAGCCGCAAACGAAACGTTGCAGGTAAATAAAACCTTTCTGTGTTTTAAAAAGAACTAAAAGATGGAATTAGGTATGGTCTTTGTTCTGAACTTCTTGATTTTTTCCCTCATTTCCATTTCCCCACACAGTGATAAAAGTCTGGTTTGCTGTAGTTCCGTCCACTGTCTGAACACAATCTGTCCTTTTTCCTTGCAGGGGTGAAAAAAAACCTGCTGGTGAGAAGTTGGATGAGAAGGAGCTGAAAAAGGAGAAGCACCGGCTGGAAAGGGAGAAGAAGGAGCTGAAGGAGAAAAGGGAGAGGGAGAAGAAAGAGCAGAAAGAAAGAGAGAAGAAGGAGCTTGAGATGAAGAAGAAATTCAAAGTGAGTACTGTTATTCTGACAGGACATGGAGGTATGCGAGGTGGAGGAGGGTGGGGTGTTTACACAGACATACAAACCTGTCAGGATTCATTCCTTACTGGACGAGCTGAGAGCAATGTGTGCAAGCAGAATCTGGGTAAACAATCGCTCCATTATTGCCAATTGTTGTGAAAGAAAATCCGTTTTTAGCTCTTTCAGCATTATTTTCTGACACAGTTTGGGTTTTGTGATTCCCATCATACAGTTTTGTTTTCTGAAAGTTAAGAAGTGTCTAAACTCTTCCTGCTGCTGAGTATTAATGCCACGTACAGTTAGGAAATCATCAGCACGGTGTCAGAGCTCCGTGGTGAGCGCTTCAGTCAGTGTCTGTTGAGTTTCCACTAACAAAGTCAAAAGAGTTGCATTTTCTCCTAATGACTGAAACCTGGTTTAGAACCAGTCCTGTCTCTCCACACTCCGGAAATTACTCTTCCTCTTTTATACAAAGTCTCTTTTTGTTTCCAGGTAATACGCAGGCCTCCCCATCTTTTTGTAGTTTTTGTTAAACATTCTCTGATTTTAAAGGTGCATTATGTAGAAATGAAGTAAAAATGACATCTTGTGGTAAAATTTGGTAACTGCAACCACTTTAAACAACTCTGGAACTTTTTGCCGACCGTCATCAACTTACAATTGTCGGCGCTGCAGCATTAGCTCGCAGGGGACACGACAACCCCCACACGTACTGATGGTAAACAGTTGTTACGTCCCTCCTTTCTTTGTTCTGACAGGACAAAAACTGACTATCCCCACAGCCTGCTGGATGTGAAATATGTTTCAGTGTAACCTTCCTTCCAAAAGGTGCACCTTTAAAAGCTGATTTTAGTTTTGTGTTCATAAATGTGTCTGTAGTCATTTTTCCTTTTTATTCCTGTTTGGACAAGTGTTCCACGCAGGAAAAACAATAATCTACAGAAAACTAATTAATCTGTTTTATTTGTGGCTCAGATGCTGCCAATAACTTCATTTGGACTACATAACCCAGGGCACGTCCTGTTACTGCAACCAAGGTTACACTAGAATATTTAAAAATCAACACAAACAGTAGGGCTGCACGAGTGATTCATTAAAACAGCTCTTCATCAGATCTGTTTAGTTGTTACTCACAGGAATAATCTGCCATGCAGTAGGTTTACTTCACTTGGACTCTTGCTACTTTGTGTATCTGAAGAGAAAGTTCCTAAATAAAAGGAATAAATAGAAAAGTGACGTGCTGTTGACTTGAAATCAAACTGGATTGAGCTTGTCAGATTGGGATTTGAGTAGTTTGGAGGTATGGTGAACAACCCACAGCCATGTTCTTGTGAGCTAAATAGTGACTGTTTGCAGGGCCTAATGCTTTACTAGCAACTGTTAATGTCCACACGACAGTTTGGAGCTACAGGAAAAAAAACTTTTCATGCTAATCTGTAACTTGGGTTCTTTTATTATGGAAGTCTAAAAATGTGTAAATCCAATGAGTTTTATCTGCTCCATTCATGATGTGTGGAGATATATATATATATATATATATATATATATATATATATATATATATATATATATATATATGTGTGTGTGTGTGTATATATATATGTTTTTGGTTATAACAACAAAGTTTTATATCCAAGCAACACAACAACAAAAATTACAAGCACAACAGGAATAGGCAGAAGCAATGCGTATTTTAGCCACCAGCTGTTTTCTATCTAAATCAAATAACCTATATACAGTTTTTTTACCTTCAGGGTCAATGCAACCATTTCAATCATTCCTGCTCTGTGATGAAAGTCAAAAGAGAAATTATTTTGGATATTGTACCTGACTCAAAGGTGGGGGGAGTTCAGCCATGTTGCTTCTGCCATTTTCCCTCTGCTGGTTTGGCTGGGCTGGTCTCAGGGGGCTTTAGGGATGTTTCGATGTTCCCACTAGACAGATCATCTGCTGCTGTGGCCCCCAGACTCTGGACCTCTCTCCCCCTGAGCCTGAGATCAGTGGACTCAGTGGTCTCCTTTAAAAAGCAGCTGAAAACTCACCTGTTCAAGCTGGATTAGGCGTAACCTTTGGTTCATTCTTCATCACCACACTCTCCTGATTTAGCTCTTTCTACCAACTCTGCCTTTCCCAGGATCCACTGATTACCTCTTTCTTACTCATTTTCTCTTTCCCCTTCCTCACATTTGTAATCACAAATTTTTACTTCTTCCAATTTCATGATTAAAAAAATCCATTTAAATATCCTTTTTATTTAGAAATTTTTGAAGAAGAAGAAAATATCATTTCTATAGCGCCTCTCAAGATAAAAATCACAAAAACAAAAAATGTAAAAATATAAAAAATAATTTAGAAAATGGTTAAACATATATTTAAAATGAGCAAAAAATAGACAATTGTGATTAAAAAATGTTAAGAAAGAGAGAGAGTGAACAGGAAAGAGGGAAGTCAGTGGATCCTGAGGTGGGGAGAGCAGAATAAAGAGAGAGGGGTGAAGCACCTTATAATGTTTTATATTCAGAAGCACAATATAAAAGATAGTTTCTTCCTCTTCTTCACTATCAGATGCAGTACTGGGGAGCCTGGCCCATGTTGCTATGCAACATATTACATTAAATGGAGGAGGAGGCCTGAGGTTTCAACTTTCCAGCACCTACAATGCAGCTCTGAACACTTTCAGTCTAGGTCACACCCTCCTGCATCTAATCAACACGACAATTCCCAAACAATAGAGGCTAATGACTCATCGGGGGTAGAGAGGAGGGGTATTTATAGGTAGTTTCTGTGGTTAAGCAACAACAGACAGCTACTGTTTATAAGCTTGACTTCCATATTCCAGTTAGAATCAGTGTTGCCAGATGTACGATAATTATCGTATTTGTGCCATAATTTTGGGCTCTGTACGATGTACGATCAATAGTTTCAAAAATCCTCAAATGTACGATAATTTCACATTGCATCTAGTAACACCGTCTTTTGCTGTGGCATTCCCAAGTCAATTACATAAATTTAAACTGTTCTGAAGTCAGATTTCACCTCAGTGCTTACAGGTTTATGCTATTGTGTCTATTACAAAAACTGACTCTGGATCTGTACTATAAATAGCCCAATCACATCGATAGGGCCTACTCTCGCGAGAAACTGTAAGGTTAGATAATGATGCCAATTCCTCATATTGGAGTGAGAAGTCGTTTATAGAACGTTGTAATTTATAATGTACGATAATTTGTACTGAAAAACGATAATTTAGGCCTCTCTGTACGATATTGTGGGATTTTGGATCTGGCAACACTGGTTAGAATTGACAAAGCTCCTCAGATGAGAAGCGAAACGTCTTCAAGAAACCAAAGAAGTCCAGTTGCCTTCATCTGAACCCTTTGGATTGCCGTGACCTGGATGCCTGAGAACCTTCACCAGCGTGTACAACAAGTTCCTGGCAGATAACTTGGGCTGCCGGTGGCTTCATGGACTGATCTTGTCTATAGGCTACTTGGACACCGTCACCACTCTGCTCAAAAACACACTTACAAATACAGAACTTACTACACACAACATACGGATAAAAACCCACAGAAACAAACACAGCGAAGCTCAGTGGCACAGACACACGTAGGTGAAGACCTAAACCACACACACAGATAATTATTCATGCATCAGATCAAACACACATTGTTTACCAACGTGTCTCTCCTGCTTTGTTCCCATTAGGATTGCCATTACCCTAGTAGGAGTTTTTAGACTCTCGCGCCAAAGTAAATCTGCTTTCACAGTAAAGTACTCAGATCCTTCATTCTATCTGTCTAAAACATATAAACAAGTAAAAAATAAACACGCAATAGACGTGAGATCTCTGTTACAACGTGCTGTCGTGTCCTTGAGCAAGACACTTAACACACCATGCCTGGTGGGGGTGGTCGGAGGGACTGTGGCATCCGTGTTCAGTAGGCCTCGCCTCCATCAGTGCACCACCGGGCAGCTGTAGCTACATCATAGCTCATCCCCACCAGTGAGTGAATGACTGATTGTGTTGTAAAGCGTCTTGGGGGGTTCTAGGACTCTAGAATACGCTTTATTAAATGCAGGCCATTTAAAGCTAAATTAATAAAAACTGTCTTGATCAGAACACGATCCAAGTTTTGAGAATGGTTCAAGACATCCTTAGTTTAGTCCTCTTTAACCAGTTTAGACCAGCGGCGTTAAACCGAGACAGAAAAGGCTTTCCTCACATTATTGTTGCTCATTATATCTTGATATGAGATGTTTACTTTGTTTTCATCTATTACGAAATGTTTGACTGAATTAATAACTGTTCAGAACCGATGCTTTCCTGTTGGTTTCAGACCTGAATTATTTAACTAGCTTTTTACCGAGGGTGTAAGTTTCCATGAAACACATCTTTTTTTAAAAATCCGTTTGGTAGAATTACACGTGTAGAGCCTTGCTGCTGTGTGTGGTAGGTGACAGGACAGGAGGAAGCCATGTACCAGGCAAAAGTGACTGAAACATCGAAGGGCCGTAGGCACAATTTGCCCATCAAGAGTGGCGATGTTGTCAGCATCATCCGAACAACCGACTGCCCCAAGGGGAAGTGGCTGGCCCGGGACAACAAGAACAACTGTGAGTTGAATTCTCGGGACATCATTCTCACTGTATGTATTCTGATTACTCTTGACAAGTAACTGGGATGCATAAATCTGTGACGGTCTTATCAGACGGATACGTTTCTGTGAAACGCGTGAATCTGGACGTCAAGGAGATGTTAGAGATGGGGAAGAAAGCAGCCCGTAACAGCACCGTCATCGAATCTGGAGATACCAGCAAAGGCAACTGGTGTGTTTCCTCCCAGTACATAACCTAAACATGATACTGGTCAGGCAAACATGCCACACACATGCGTGTTCTCAGTCACTGATTTGTTGATTGTCTTCTTGTCAGGAATTCAAATGACTTCCATCCAGAAAGCTGTAAGTTTTTCCAGTCTGTAGCTAGGATCAATGAAATCCGTCAGCAGCTGTTTGAAACCAGCTGCTTCATTCTGGTCGTGATGTGTTCAGTTACAGACGACAGCGAGGAGTGGACCTGTGAGGACGATGATCTCCTCACTCCTACTGATTATCTCCTCACTCCTACTGCAGAAGCCGACCAGTTTGCTTCAGAGTATGTAACCCAATGTCAGCCCGAAGTCCAGATGTCATTTCACACGACTTATGAACCTTTACAAAAGTGTCCCCGGTTCTTGTTTGTAAACATTTTCTTTTCCCTTTCCTCTTCAGGAGACACAACAAGGCTCTCTCCATGCCAGTTATGGGTAAGACATCCAAAAAACACACAGCTGTGGGCAGCTCACACACACTTACCCTAGGCATGATTGACCTATTAGTTTTAAAGCTTTTAATTGTTGATTTGAATCATTCTTTTTCCAGGAAGTTTACACCTTAAAACTTCGTTTATCTTAACAAGGATTTGTTGCACAAATTGGAATTTTCTCTCAACTTCATCGTTAACATTAAACACAGAGGCTCAGACATATACACACCCCACTGCCGGATGACCCTTGGCCCAGTTCACATGGCAGGATAATCGTGCTGAGCTTTTACTAGCCCCATCCTTTCCGATAATCTTAAAAGTTGCATATGATTACCATAATGGCTCTAAAGATAATCTTATCAAATAATTCTACAGTGTGTGGTGTTTTACGAGTGCTCTGGTCTGCTCGGATGGATGTCGGGACAGCTCCGATCACAAATCTTGGCTTTGAAACATGTTGGATTGCCTTGTTCTGATTTTTGGGGGCAAACAAACGTACTGCCAGTTGAATGTGGCATTTAGCCAACCAGACAGCGAGGTAACAGAAGCACTCAGCATGCTCCTCTCCCACCATGTTTGTTTGCTTTAAAGTCACGTCTTACGAGATTTCTCGTCTGAGCTGGGAAAGTCCATGAATAAACGCGGATCGTTAATGGCCTAAATGACTTGTACAGTGCGTTCTTAGGATTCTAAACCCCCCAAGGCGCTTCACAATACAATCTGTCATCTACACATTCACACGCTGGTGGTGATGAGCTACATTGTAGCTACAGCTGCCCTGGGGCGCACTGACAGAGGTGAGACCTGCCGAGCGCTGGTGCCACCGGTCCCTCTGACCACCACCAACAGGCAAGGTGGGTTAAGTGTCTTGCCCAAGGACACAACAGCAGCATTTTCTGACAGGAGCCAGGATTGAACCTGCAACCTTCCAATTTCAGGACAACCCTCTCTACCTCCTGAGCTACTGCTGTCCCTGTTGTGTGTAATTTTTGCCAAGTTGCTGCTCACCACACCCAGTAGGACCAAAACTGGTATATCAGTGATTTTTTTATCACTACGTGTGTGCGGTCTCTCATGCTTTGAAAATTGGGCGACTTTTTTAAAATCCTGCTGCGTGAACCAGGCTTAAACACCAAATTCTACCAAGTTAATAGACTTTCTTTACACTGGTTGTTTTCCTGCAGACTTAAGTTTTAATGTTTATTTGGGGTGTTAACGGTTAAATTGTCCAGTTGGAACACCCAATCGTTTTCCTTTTTCAAGCATTGAGCTGATTTTTTTCAGTAGACTTTAAAAACTAGTTAGTCGTTCTTTACTATCCCACTCTGTGCAGTGCACCATCACCATAGCGTGGTGCTTTTGTGGCAAGGTGGAGAAACGAGGGCCCGGGTGAGAGTCATGTGCGCCAACCAGTCAGCCAAAGGGACATCCCTGTGGCCAAGTAGCCAGGGCGCATGATCCATCGTGATACAGTGACAGGATGCTCACACTTTCACCACCTTGCTTAATGGGTGCTTCAGCATACTTTGGGTTGAAAACATTACCTTCATTTCCTCAAACATACTCAAGTCACTCAGGTCACTTGTTGTCTCTTCCCTGCAAACAGTCAGCGTCGCATGCACGTGCAGATCATGTCTATATTGTGTCTGTCGGTCCAGACCACGTCTGTAGGACATCCAAACTAGGTCTTTGCACAGTGAGTTTGACCATGAGATGTTTCTCCAGACAGCTTGTCAATGTGAGAAACTGTAAATTTCTGTGTTTTTGGTCCTCTTAAACCATAGTGATGTAAAAGTGATGCTGGTCTTCCAGCAGGTTTCAGTTCATGGTAGGTTTGAGCCTTGGTGGTTTGCCAGTTTCTTAACACTCTAATCAGTTTCCTTTAATCTGAGGGTGATGGATGAATCAGTTTAATAAGGGATGTCAAATGAATCATTTTTATGTTAGCAAAAAGAAGCTATCAGCTGAAGAGAATCACAATGGCTGTATCAAATTAAAAGAAAAGAAAGAACATCCTCAATAGCACCCAATTCCTGTTTTTAAGAATCATTTAAGTTGTATTCATTGAATCATTCAAAGTCAAAGTCATTTATTGTCATTTCTACCACATGTGCAGGACATACAGAGGTACGAAATTGAGTTTCAGTACACACAATTCAAAGATCAGACATACATGGGTAAGACACATGACAAGAATTGGTGACTGCGGTCATTCGCAACATGAGTCGCGCTACCTTAATAGATAGATGAAAAGGGTGTTACATGAGGATAATTGGGGGTAAGGTAAAAAAAGGCATAGCAGAGTTAGACCCAGCGGGGAGTAACTCTATTATACAAAAAAACTCCTTTAACATGGAAGCACAAACAGCACAGATACAACATCAGAGTCTGATGGGGAGGCGGGGATGGGCGGGATCCTGAAGCCTCCAATGGGAGCTGCCACTGCGGCGCATCGACCAGCTGCAGACCAACAGGTGGGAGGGAGAGATAAGGACCAGAGAGCACATTGAGTTTCCCGCAGACGTCTCAATGTGAAGGAAGAGGGTGAAGGTCGGGACACAGCATCTGTCGGCATTCCTCCTTTCGTGAGGGTGTGTTGAACAGCCTTGAGAGGCTGCTATGGCGTCAGATAAGGGATAAACATGGCTTTGTTTGGGGCAGGCAGAGATAATTTTCCTCTCCGCCTTGGTGTCTCTAAGTGGTCATTCATGTCCACCAGTGAGCTAATTTTACATTCTAAACATTCCCACATCGTCCGGCGACCCTCTCCGAGATGACATCCATCTTGCGTACTAATACAGGCAACGCCGCGAGGACATAGTCCAGCTTACGGTTCACCTCGAGTAACGTCCCAGTCTGTGAGGTCACCGCACGAGCGGCACATTCCATGGGCGCGGGTCGCACTCCAATCGCTCCCGTCTTCCCAAATTTCCAGAAAACCAGATATCCTCCCACTCCAATCAGAAGAAATCCAGTGATCATCAGGCCGAATATCCACAAATCTTCCACGTCCTCGATGGACAGCTGAGAGAGGCACACGATTCGTCAGACCTCCCAAGAATCGAGTGCATATCCCGCTGCGAATGTCCCCTCGGGACAGGTGGGAGCCCCCTTCTCCGTTCTCATCGTAGAAAAAATTTTGTCAATCGCGTTGAATGACCAGTTAATTAAGTCCACCCTGAAAAGAATTTTCCAGGTCCATCATTAAAATCCAGGACGATAACGATCTTCACACCCATGCTGAGTGTAACCAACTTTTGATCATGGTTGTAAATTTCCTGTCAGTTTTTTTCAGTTTCCTTTTCATTAATAGATTTCTGTTAAAACAACCTTAAATGACCCTTTTCATCGGACATTGAATGAAAACGAAACAGCATTTTTAAAAATGTCTGTTTCCTGAAACTAAATGAATATTCTAAACTTTTGTTGCGTCACTTCCATCTTACAGTAAATCATGAGCTGAACCAGTGAAGGCAACGTGACACATCTGTGGGATATGTTCATTTCCTCCTTGTCTTATTGTCATGGGAATGTGCAGATTTAATCTGGTAAATTAAATCCACGCAGCACATGAATACCTGGGATATCAGCAGTTTGACTGGATACATGAATGATGTGGTGAACAATGGTTTCCACATGAAATACATTACTGCAGCCTGAACTTCTGCAGGTAGAGCCAGTCTACTCCTCAGTGAACAGAATAAAATGTGTTTATTTGACACATTTTCTCGTGTATCTGGCTTACTGATGCTCCTTAGATAAGCTTATATTCAGATTTTGAAACAGCACACCCAAGTCTTTGTGTTCATACTAAAAATCTGTCTTTTGTAAAACATTTAAATGCTTTATGAGTAATTTCTTTAATTATTTATCAGTCTAAAATTATTTAAAAATGAAATTAATTTATTAACTGACCTTAGGTTTAGTTAATGGGGACAAATTACTTTAAAAGTATTATTTCATATTATTTTTCTTCTTGCAATAGCATTTCATACACATTTACTGATTTTAGTGTTACTTTATTAACCATTATGAGCCAACAGCCTCCAAACCACTTAAGTTCAGAAAATGTCGTGTCTTACAAAATCTACTGTTTGTACAGAGTCCAGGTAATATTCATTTATGTGGTTATTTCCAAATGTTGTGATGCAAGAGAACATGTGCATGCATGAAAGTTGTTCTTTTTAATCCAGCACAAAAGCTTCAGGGTTTGAGAATGTTGTGACCTACATCTGCAGCGATATCAAAGCTTCTAAAACCAATAAAACATTTTGTTGTGCTTTTAAAGGACCTCAGAGCTGAATATTGTAAATGCTGAGTCATTGCTCTGAGACTCAGAAAGACATGAATCTGAAACTGAGAACGTGGCTACAGGTTTGGGGTTTTATGATCTGAGAAAACTTTTGTATTTTATGCTATATTTGTATAATTTTACAGGAGTTGAGGACCTTTCCATAAACCACCAGCACAGTGACATGGGTGACGGTGACCAGACCCAGTGAGTTCCACTAGTTTCACTTGTTAATAAGCAGCGTGGAGAAAAATACTCAAGTGTGCTTGTTTTCTATCAGGACAAAACCAGAAGCACTTCAGAAGTTGTCAACATTTTTAAATACACACAAATCTGCAAATGCATCTGAGAGGTAGCTACCACACAGTTACTCTTTTACTCTAGTTACAAGATAAGATGTATTCACCTGTTTCCTTCTTGTTTAGCAGCCATCCCGAACCAGAGACAAGTAAGTCAAGTTTACTAAATACGTGTGTGTGTGTGTGTGTGCGCGCGTGTGTGTGTGTGTGTGTGTGTACTTCATTGATTATATCGATTTTGGTTCCACTGCAGGTCCCATATCCGAGCAGGAAGAAGTGGTTTCTGAGTAAGTAGATGAAGACACACACACACACACACACACACACACACACACACACACACACACACACACACACACACACACACACACGCGCACACACACACACACACACACACACACACACACACACACACACACACACACACACACACACACACACACACACACACAGAGGGAGAGAGAGAGAGAGAAATGTTAAGCATGTTGTTCTACCTGTAGATTCACATGTCGCCTTCCTATTTTGGCCTGGAAAGGCTTGCCGAGCATGAAAGCATGAACGAAGGGAGTGTATTGTTGTGTGTGTTTAGGAGAAAGCAGGGAGGATTAAAAATTCAGTCTTGGGGTAAAGCAAAGAAAGGCTTGAGTGCTGCTTGGATAATGTCTAGCGTTAAAAAGGGATTCCACCCTCATCAGTAGTCTGGTCAGTGTCAGGGAAACATGGCAGCATCTAAAGTGTAGGCTTCTGTGGAAATGGTAAAAAAAAAGACTGAATTGTTTTTGTTACCACAAAATGATGAATGAACAATACAGGGCAGTGAAAACACACACCGCCAGGCTGTCGGACAGCTTTTATGCTAGAGCCACCACTGAACTGAATGCTGCTGCTAGGAGGTCCCACTAACAGGGACCACAGCACTTTTACATCTAGCTAGTTACTCCTGACACCTTACCATGTCACTGTTTATATTTGTTTACTTAATATTTCTCTTCATGATTTGATTTGGCTTATTACCATATTTACATTTATATTTACACTGGTGCACCTTAAACTGACAAATGTGCAAATAAAGCATGCACACGTACGTGTGTGTGTGCGCGCGCGCGTACGTACGTGCGTGACATCCATTTTAGCCATGTTTACTTATATCTCACCATCTTCTTAAGAGAGCTGTCTTTAAGTGAGTGCAAAGACAATGTCATTGAAGACATGTACAATGACAATAACATGATCTTGATTCTTGACGAAAGGAGGGCGGGGGGGGGGGGGGGGGGTATGCGTGTGTTTTGTTGTTTGTTTGTTAGCAAAATACCTCATCGACCGCTTGACGCATTTCTTTAAAACTCTCAGAAATTCTTCACCAGATGTAGATCTACAGCTGATTACCTCATGGAGTCGCCCAAACTGAGTCAGCCACCTCATCCAACAGACTAGGGAAAGCAGAACATGACCACAGCTCGGTCAGATTTTGGGCTAACGTCTGATTAAGTAGTAGTTACGGGTTAACCCATTTAACACTTTGGATGCTTACTGATTAGCTATTAACTCTGTCAAGTGGTTCTCGAGGGGTTTAGTCGACAGGCAAACACATTCCAATGAAACTTTCAAAAAGTAATCCTTAGATGTGCAACAGATAGACTTTCAGAGTCGACCAGTACAAGACGACGGCCCCAGCCAGCTGAACTTAGCAAACAATCATCTAATGGTTGTTAAGCTGTGTGGTCTGAGAATCCTCCATGTAATGCAAATCTGAACACATTGCATGATGCTATTTTTAAGATTTGACCGAAACAGCTCAAACTTCCTTTCTTATAAGACCTTAGATCAAACCCCTGGTGTGAAAGGTGGTGAGCCTTTCAGTAACGTTGTCTGTTTTTATAGGCCGGAGGGCAGCTCACTACAGGAAGAAGAGTTTGATCCCACAGCGGTTATTTTACCGCCTCCTGACCAGTACGCTGATACCACGGTGGAGTGATCACTGTGAGGTGAGGATGAATCATCTGAACATTTCCTTGTCCATCACTGTTTTCCAGCCGTGCTCACACTATTTCCTTTATTTTTCTGTCTGTAGAAGCCAAACCAAACCCATCCAGCACTGAAAAGGATTTGTCAGTGGTTTCGATCCGTGGCAAGCATCAGTCTCCTGATACTCTGACAACTACACCTGCTTGACTTTGAACTCATTTATCAAACGACTGCATTTCTGGATTAATGTAATGATTTGCAATGAGCAAACTTCATCTAAGCAGCTGAAAACTCTCCCTTCCATGACCCGAAGCAGTCGGTGAGGATCAGACTGGTGAGCTCTGAACTTTGAACTCTGGAACAAGATGAACTGCCTTTCCTAGCAAGATCTTATCTTGTGGAGAAAATATCAGGCTTCTGTAAAATATCTCTAAATAATTGTAAAGGTTGAAAGCAAAACTCCAGAATACAGCCTACAGAGGAAAATCCGCTAAATCTAACTGTCACGACTGGATTATAGTTCGGATAAGCGAACAAGTCTGAATCTCTATTTTTGTATAAAAAAGGTTGCGTACAAAAGGAGGATTACTTCTATCATACGCTTCAGCGTGAGACTAATCTGTGTGAGAAAACAGCTCGTTTCTAGATTTTTGGTAACTTTTATTGACAAATGCATGGATTATGTTTTATTTTCAAATTATCTTTAATGGATTAAAAAAAGAAATATTTCGTCTAAGATCAACATCTCAGATGTGCTAAAGTAAGTAAATCATTTTGCTTTAGCTGCTTATAACCTGGAGGGAAACAATGAGCTTTATTTTCTTTCATTTGTTATTGTTTACAGGTATTGTTTACCTCAGACTCTTTCTTATAAGCTGTTGTACACAAATGTAAGGTGAGGCGATCCTCTGTGTGTATAAAAACTCTAAATTGGGAAAAAAAGGACAAACCAGAAATGTTGATTTATAAATTTGTTTACTGTTTTTCAATAAATACTCATTTAAGTGCAAATCCTAACAGCAACATCATGCAGTGCATAACGAGAATTGCAAATCAGAGACACAAAGACAGGTAGAGACACCTCAAACATGCACACACACACACACACACTTGATCACAGTGACCAACCAGATATCTCACACACAACACTGATTGGGGTGTTTAAGGTTCCCTTAACCTCTCTACAGATAAACGCAGCCTTGCTCTCTGCACTTTGGTACACTTAAAAACTCAGTATTTCATTCAGCAGGCACGTAGTTCTGCTCTACATAGTTAACATGACTAACATGCCACTGGAGGTTGCATATAGCTGTAACACACCCAACAGCAAACACTGTTTATCTTGGATTTGATCCAATCTGAGCCCAGACTCCTGCAGGAGGGTACCGTGTTGTGGTGCGCAGCAGGACCAGGGACCGATGCGTAAGGGGCAGGATTAGCTCCTGAACAAATCTGCCCAGTGCACCACAGGTGAGTTTCAGAAGACAGTGAGATACAGTCGAGTTTTGGTGTTCATGCAAATAAAAACATACATGACGTAGAGTCTCTGTTGAGCATCAAAGGAGAATTTCACTTCATCCTTTTGGACCAAAGACTAGTAATTACAGGTCGACTGATATTGCCGATGCCGATCTGTAGGAGACGTGGTCAGCTGATAGTCAATATGTACCGCCAATTTTTATGGGCCGATTTTCATGGCCAAAATCTAGTATTTCCGGCCTATTTTTCATGCTAAAATGTCACTAATAATATTAGTTTATGCACAAAATTTCTGAAGCTGAATGAGTTTTTGAACTCTGAATTTAACTAACTGTTGTATCTGAACTTTGTGCACTGCTCAGTGTTTGTTTATTTATTTAGCAGACGCTTTTATTCAAAGCGACTTACAATTTATAACCTGCAGGGCATGTTATGATCCGTGGGGGAAACCGGAGTACCCGGAGGAAACCCACCCATGCACGGGGAGAACACGCAACTCCACGCAGAAAGGCCGCAGCCGAGTTTCGAACCTGCAACCTTCGTGCTGCGAGGCACCAGTGCTAACCACTGCGCCACCATGCAGCCCAAAGTCAGTTTTAAAGTCAGACACCTAAATAAAGTTAATGTAGAGTATTTATTACGCTGATATTATTAGTTTATTACGCTGATATTATTAGTTTATTACGCTGATATTATTAGTTTATTACGCTGATATTATTAGTTTATTACACTGATATTACTAGTAAAGGTAAAGTTCCAGGCTGCCTGAGGATGTGCTTGACTTTAAATCGGCTTTACTAAGGACAGATATCGGCTGATGCTGATGTATAGAAACCGGAAAATATCGGCCGACCAATATATCGTCTACCCCTACTGGTAATGATGAAGTTGGTGATGGTGGTGCGTGTGTGTGTGTGTGTGTGTGTGCTTCAGGAGCGCTGACGCATCTGTGTAATGGAAACATTTTGTTGCTGAATATCGTCGTAGATGTGCAATTATAACTCAAAGCTACGTAAATACCTTAGTGACTAGTGTGTACGCCAGTGTCTTTGAATTGGATTTCAGATCAGTAGAAAAAACTTGCAAACTAAGCACAGCTCCACTGCGTCACTTTAAAAAGAAGCCATTATAGTTATTGGTGGTGGCTACACGTCCGCACGGTGGCAGTTCTGTTTACAGCATGTGGAGTACTCTCCAGCAGACATTACAAGGCGGCTACGGCACAAACCCAAACGTGAAAACATGGACGAGGAGCTTATAAAAGCTACTTGATTACAGTATTGATAACTTTTAAGTACCAAGGCGGCTGTGGCTACATAGCAGCGTACCATTACCGACAGTGTGTGACTGTGAGAGTGCACGAATAATGGAAAGCGCTTTGGGTGTCTTGAAATGCGCTATATAAATCCAAAGCATTATTATTATTATTATTGATCTTAAAATATTCCAATAAATGGCGAACTCACTCATTTTTAATTATTTAGAGTCAAAAAAAGACAACGGCAAATCTGATTGCATGTAAACAAAAGTCACTTTCCGCTTCCTGTTTTCAAGTCCCGCGTGATGTTGTGACTATCGCGTGATTTCCCAAGAAGCGTTCAGCGGCATAGCGAGTCCTGTGTGACCATCTGACTTCCTGAAACTGGCGCTTCTGTGGCACAGCACATCTGCCATCTATGTTCCCCTGGCTTAAGGGTGCAATATGTAAGAATGAAGTAAGAATGACATCCTTTGGTTAAATTTGCTTAGTGCAGTCCATTTCCAATCAAGCCAGTCACTTTCTCACTATCATTCCATGAGTTGTGTGGCTGTTGCCAGCTCTGGATCAGCACTAGAAGATTCTAGATGAATCACACATACTAAGTTGATCAGTAGATAAATACATGTCACTGTAGTGCTGAGTTGTTGGTAACTGAAAACGTAGCATGAGGTGTTTTTAGAGCGGCCTATTTCTTTCTCATTCATCTTTAGCATTGTTATGTCAACATTAGCCTCTAGCCTTCTTTACCCGACATTAGAATAAACAAAAAGATGTCGTGGCTTCTTAGGGATACAAGAAATACCTTCTGGGTTGTTTCTGAGACTGGCTTCAGTTGTACACAAAACGCTGCTGCATTTTGCCGGCCAGTGGCCCATTACAAATGCTATCGCTGCAACATAAAGCCTGATTTATGCTTCTCCGTCTGCCCTGCAAGGGAGAGACGCACATGCATTAGGAGACATTTTGCTCTCGGACTTCTTCGTCACCTGGGGAATGTTGCAAAGCAATTCCCCGCCAGGACAAAAGAGGGTGTAGCACTTTTCTTTGTAATCCTGTCACCATCACACTAATGTATCCAGACCACAATAGTGTATTTACTAGCGCGTTTATATATTTTAGACTTCATAGGGAGCCTAAGTCTCCTCCCTTTCCGGTCGGCTCATGGGTCCCCGGAAGAACGAAAAAATGAGGCTAAAACAGCTATTTTCTAATCCACTTATGCCCTGGATCACACGCGTTGTACTGCAAGTTAAATAAAAATAATGATGTGTTTCGACCCTGCCAGTCATATACTTTGAGATTTATCAGCTTGTAAAAGTTTGTAATGAGCACAGCTACATCGGCACGTCGCATATATAACTTCACCACGTGATCTCCTCTCCCCTAGCATAGCTGCTACTCACCAAACGGTCAGTTTTAAGGTGATTCGTTCCTCCTGTGGGAAGGATTTGAAGTTTGCTGAACTTACAGCCATTTTATCTCTGCTTTTCTCCGTGTCTGCTTTGATGACGTCACTTTCATGAAGGGAATTTGTAGTCCTGGACTTATTTTCACACAAAACCTAAAATAAAATTCACAGACATCATATGTGAAATCCATGGAACATAACAAGTGGAATTAGAAAATTGTGTTGTTAGCCCAATTTGACTTGCGTTCATTTTTTTTATCTTCTGGGGACCTGAGGTCCAGAAGTAGATGGGTGTGACTTAGGCTCCCTACAACATGAACAAATTTGTCCTTCATGCAATCGCCACCTCTAAACCACGCTCCACACCCACATTTCCCGTCGTTTCTGTTCACCAATAAAATGTTTGCTCCGTATTTTTGTACTTCTTCAGTTACGAGTGAATAAATGGTCGTATATTTTTACCGATTAAAAAATTTGGACATGTCTCCGTCACCATCTGTGAGCCTGTCGCAGAGCCCACATAACGGCGCTGCGTGTCGCCGACACAGACAGAGAAGTATACATCAGGCTTTAGCCGGCACAGACTCGGTAATTTATTTACTGTAAAAGTCTAACATATTGTACCTTTAAGCTTTGAACCTACAAAATAAAACTGATGTTGCTAATAATATCTTTTATAGTTTTTTTTTACATCTATTTGTGGATATTTGTTATAGCTGAGTCTAAAATGTACATCCTCTATAGATCCTCCACTTGGTGTTTACTGATCCAACTGTCCATCACTGAGGGACACAGAAACAAACAACCAGTCACACACTCATTCTCATCTAAGGGCTATAGAGTCACCAGTTAGCCTAACAAGGTGCAAACTCACCTCAGAGTGAAAACCAGAGCACCACGGGGAGAAAATGCACAGAAACAACCCAACCAGGGTTTAAACCTGCAGCTGTTTTGCTGCAGGGCAAATGAGGTATCAAAAGCGCCACCATGCAGTCCCTTACCTAAAATAAAAGGAACTAAATCAATGCACAATAAACAAGAACGGAAATGTTGGATGAAATGAAACTTTCTGAACCCTTTTGCCTTGCTTTTAATAATGAAATGAGTGTTAGGGTGTATGCAAATTATGTTTAGTAGGTGATGTAAAAATGGCTTATTCCCTCGTAAAAGCTGCAGACCTCTGCTCCAAGAACAGCCGTTAGCAGCTTGTTAGAGCTCTGGAGGCGGAGATACTACATGATGCTACTGTAGAAAGTTACTTCCTCAGCAGGTAGCATTTAAAACAAAACAAGTTACTTTAGCTACAAGCTACTTGTGAAAGAACAGTATGTGCCCAACACTGTAAAATATGTGTAGTTTCAGCCAAATGACATCAACAGGAGGTCCGATAAAGTTTTTAAACAGTCGTAGTTGACATTAACGCAACCAAACACGCACAGTCACATACTCTAACCATCGTATAGCCCTTAGGCATCTTTCCTGTCATTTTAATTCTACTTATTCGAACAGTGCTGTCTGCTCATTCTAACCCTAGCAATCTGACCACCAGACCACAGAAAAGGCATCATAGAAGAGAAAGGCAAAGGTCCGCACCCTCCACCCAAACACTGATGATGGACAAAAGGCAGCACTCAAGACCAAGCAGAACTTTTCTACAAGTGTTCACCTCCATCAGAAACATTTACAGTAACGTCTGAGTCTGCTCTCAGGAACTCTGAAAACTGCTGAGTTCAGTACGAGTTTTAAAGTGCAGAAAGAAACTAAACAGCTGAAGCATTACACAGCAAAAAAAGATGGCTGACTTCTCTGCTTTTGCCACCTTTTGGCGTTAGTCAGACCAGAAATCTTCCAAACATGTAAAGTAAAGAGACACACGACAACCACGTGACCGTTATTATCTAGATGTGAGAACAAACCGTGGCTCCAGAAACACACTTAAAGTTTCTGTGTGTGAAACATGAACGTGTGACGTTCTCTAAGGCATCTGAGTGTATCTGCTCTCTCTCCGCAGACACACGCCGTCTCACAAACATTACACAAGAAAACATTTGTGTAACAAATAAAACATTTTTCTTTCGGGTGGCCATGTTTTCTACATTTTTTCATAACTCCAAGTCCAAACGGGCTGCTCTTCTCAAAACGATTTCTTCTGCAGCACAACCTGTCTGTTCTTATTCAGCTTTCAATGTCAAATACATGGTCCTGACATCACTTCATGATCATACTGACATCTGAACGTATGAAGTGATGATGAAGTTGGAGGAATGGTGAGATGGTGTGCATCTCCTGCTCTGAATGCTTGTAACACAGGTAGCATCCTGCTGTGGCTCATTAATCTAACTAAACACCCGGGTGAAGTCTGGTAATGCCGTGCTAAAAGGTTATAACTACAGAATATCTCAAAAAATAAAGATGGATCTGATATCTCAATAATAAAAATCTCAATCTGATGCATAACGATGTTATTTGGTATATTTTGCTGACTTTCTCCTCTTTGTAATACAATAATAGAAATATACATGGATACAAAGTTTCTTTACAAACGTAAAACTCTGTGTAGTAATGCTCCTCCCAAACAGCTGACATGGCGATTCAACGTGAGACTGCAGCAAAGCTGAGCTGGGGTCAGCGTTGGGCTGAGCAGGACGTCCTGCTGCTCAGTGTTACGGAGGGGGATGAATCTCAGCAGCTTCTAAAGGGATTTGTGGGTAGAGTGGTGGTGTGCTTGACCACAGCTGACTCTGACCTCACACTGACCTCACTCTGACCTCACTCTGACCTCACTCTGACCTCATCGACAGAGCTGAGTTTTGTTTTACCATCTGTGGTCTGATGCTTGTTCACAAGGAGCTAATTTTCTGCCTTTATTCCCTTTTTGCTCTTGCTGATCTGAGGCTAACACTAATACTGCGTTTCATGTCTCCACTCAGAAGACAACATTTTGAGGGGAGACACAAAGACAAGGTCACACCAAACACCTGCGCTCCCTATACTCCCCACTCACGTCCAGGTTAATGGGATTGTGGAGACCTCAGCGTGCCAGCGTGGTGATCAATCTGGCACACATTTCAAAGAAGTCCATGGTGTGTGACCCCTGACGAGGCGTGAGGAGAGGGGAACAACCAGACAGAGATCCAGGGAGGGAGGAGCTGAGCAGGGGCAGATCGATGGCTGGGCTCGCGGAGTCGATGCTCAGCCTGGGTCTGTGGAGACCTGCTATGGAGCCTGACCTCTGAGGGGTGGACGACCCCGACTTAAAGCCGACTGCCTCCATGATGTCATCTGTGGGTGGCATCACGGTCTCATTAGAATACAGTAAACACAGATTGAATGAAATGTGTGTGTAGATATAAACACACCATAAAGTGAACAGAGTCACCTGTTCTATTTGAGTCAAAACTCAATCAAAATGAATTTCAGCGTTAGGTTAAATAGATGTATGAATACATAATTTGGGACATTTCTTTATTTTTGCTGTGATGTACATGTTTAGAAGACATGATGATGATTTTCTGTCACTAACCATCAATGCTCTTGAAGTCGAGGAGGTAAGATCTGTTGTCAACTTGGTAGAGCTGCAGACTCATTTTCACCAGGTTTCCTGTCACGGGATTCTTCCTCCGGACTCTCAGGTGATACGGGTTCACCACCTACCACACACACAGTCACATGTAGGTGTGTGTGTGTGTGTGTGTGTGTGTAAAACACGTCTCAATACCTTCCAGTCAAAGCTGAGCTGCTTCATAGCTCTGTACACCTCGGCCATAATATCATAAGGTCTGCTCTGGCTCCGGATACCCAGGTGCCATTTGGCTTTCTTCACTGCCAGCGGTTTAGGCCGGGTTGTGTTGAGAGCATCTAGAGGACACCGAGCTTTCGGGCTGTCAGCCAAAAGTGGGGGCATCCTCTCAGGATGGGGCTTGACCCCTGGAGGCAGCAGCATGCCGTCCTCTATGAAGGAGCCCTGCGGAGGACTAGATGCCAGGTAGAACTCGCTGGCCTGGGTCATGATGCGCCGGTTGTCTATGATGAGGTGATAAGCTACTGCTAACTGATCCTGCG